GTGTATTTGCTCGTTAATTCACCCTCCTCTTAAGTTATACGAGGCTAAGGGACTAACGTTGAAGTTAAATGATCACAGTGTTAGGTGTTTTATTCACAAGCACACACACTTTTATTCAACAAGAATACTAAATTAGTGTGGGTATCTACCAAGTACTAACAATAAATTCAACTCATCCCTGGAAGTCATCTATGCATTAAAGAAAGAAGTAGTACTCATGTAGTTTCATAGCAGGAGAAAAGAAAAATTTTAGGTGATTAAGTAAGTTGCATATAAAAGAGGAAGTTTGCATGTGAAAATTGATAAGTTTAACAAACTAAAATAAATACATAAAATATAGCCTCCTGAATGCATAATAATAAGATTGTATTGTTTTAGCTCGAAAAGATAATTAGATAACATAAAATAAAATAAATAAAATACTGTGAAAAGGGCATATTATATGAGTTTAGTTTTTATGCATTTTCAATGTAATGATTTTAAAATGTCAAGGATTTGAAGTCAAAATTCTGATATGCAGATCTTATGAAAGATAAGGAAAGATAAAGAAACAACCTAAATGGACAAAATTCAAGATACTCTCACATTGCCTATTTCACTAACCCAATAACAGAGTACTAGCACCAAATGAAAATGTTCTCATAACCTGCAAAATGAGTTGATATATATTTTTCATCATGTAATTTTAAGATCCTGCACACAACCTCCTACAAATAAGTTGAGAGTGCAGATTCTGCAATGCTAACCTTCAAATTTGAGATAAGAGGAAATATGTAATTAATTGAAGCAGACCCATATTCACCCTTACGCATGGGATGAGCACTTTGAAATAACTACAACTCGTGACAGTTTAATACACACAAGCTATATAAAGTGGGGCTTTCTAGAGTGAACGATTGATGGTAAAAGCAAGTGATGGCAAGTCACGAAGATTCAACTTCTCTAAACATGAAAAAATAGAGGAATGAAGCAAAAAAAAAAAACTTTAATATCACAAAAATATGGCAATAATGGCCACAACTTATCCAAACATACCCAATCCCACTTGAGCCAAGATGAAAAAATGAAAAGGAAAGAGTTGTGGCTTGCCTTCGTGACTCTAAGAAAGATGAAGAGATGAAGACGTGAGAGATGTTGGCCTGTTGCCGCGTGAGGTGAACTTCGTGACTAAAAATGTGGGCATTTTGACCATTATAAATAAAAAAAATTAAAATTTCTAAATTAAATTAAAAAAAAAACTATTTACCAAAATAAATAATTTTGGACACGTAGGAGTGAGAGGGACATGAAAGCGTCAACCTGTTTGATGTTTTAAGTACACTGTGCATGCAGGCACTACTACAAGATGCATATTTTACATCGGTTCTCTAATATTGGGTAACAAGGTTGATAAACCGTACACCTGATCTTCAGTCTTCAAGTAGGAGCTCCATTGTTTCTCTTGTGATAATGTGTCCCTTTATTTGTAGCTTGTTTAAGAGGGAGTATTATTATGCCTGGCCTTTCTAGGCTGCCTGCTGAA